ATTTATTCTCTCAATTTAACAACTTGTAATGGTATAAAATAATTAAAGGAGAGCTGTCTACACCAAAATAAATCTAATATATTTGTCTGCACATTTATTCTCTCAATTTAACAACTTGTAATTGTGGGAATTAATTAAACGAGAGTTGTCTACACCAAAATTAATCTCAAATATTTGTCCACACATTTATTCTCTCAATTTAACAACTTGTAATGGTGTAAAATAATTAAACGAGAGCTGTCTACACCAAAATAAGTCTAAAATATTTGTCCGCACATTTATTCTCTCAAATTAACAACTTGTAATGGTGTAAAAAAATTAAACGAGAGCTGTCTACACCAAAATAAGTCTAAAATATTTGTCCGCACATTTATTCTCTCAATTTAAAAACTTGTAATTGTGGGAATTAATTAAACGAGAGTTGTCTACACCAAAATTTATCTCAAATATTTGTCCACACATTTATTCTCTCAATTTAACAGCTTGTAATGGTGTAAAATAATTAAACGAGAGCTGTCTACACCAAAATAAGTCTAAAATATTTGTCCGCACATTTATTCTCTCAATTTAACAACTTGTAATTGTGGGAATTAATTAAACGAGAGTTGTCTACACCAAAATTAATCTCAAATATTTGTCCGCACATTTATTGTCACAATTTAATCACTTGTTAATAGTGGAAATTACTTAAACGCGACTTGTTTAATCAGTTGACATCAATGCAACTTACCCGCAGACAGTGCACAACAGAGTATCGTTATTGAGCAATTATAAACAGGAACGTGTCTTGGCATTAGGGTTAGGGTCGGGTCAGGTATGGGCAACGGAATTATTAACAGGAACGTGTCTTGGCATTAGGGTTAGGGTCGGGTCAGGTATGGGCAACGCATGCGCAAATGGCAAACACCCAATTGGCAAGATGTACACTAACGGGTTATGGCATGCATATTGTTTACACAAGTAAAAACACAAAATTGGCAATTTTTTGGACAATTGTAACTCAATAATAGAAATATGTTGTATTTATATATATATAAACACACACTATATAGTCTTATCAAATGCAAACACATCCAGTCAATCCATTGTGGTCTTGTGGGTCAGTTCTCTACATAGTGATCAGGAGGACCGTGGTTCAATTCCCATGCCTGCCCATAATTTTTCTCGCAAACACTATTTGGCAATAAAGCTAAATATGACAACAAATTACTCACTTTGCATGACTACCCACATAGCTCAGTTGATTTGTACTATGTCAGCAATGTGAGCGATTGCTGGTTCGAATCCAGTTTGTTTAGTTAGATTTGTGAATGCTAGTGAAGACAGTGCTTCTATGAATAGGACTTAAATCCTATCTTTTGTGTGAAGACACTCGTGGTACAGTGGACAAGACAGTGTGCTGGGAACTCAAAGATCGCACATCCGAATCACGGATTGGACACTCCTACAAAAGACATGAAAGACGTTAAAAACATAAACAATTCAAGTCAGAAAAACAGAACACAAGAATACTACTCCACATGGAAGCCAGTCAAAGTCGTCGAAGAACGAACACAGTTGACAGCTGTAGGTCACGAGCAACAACAGACACGAGGAGCATGGCTGCTCTCCAAATGGGTCCCTTCTTTTTGTATTGACCCCCTAAGGATGACTAATCCCCCTTTCTAACTCTTCCTCCAAAAATAATATATCGCCCCTTTTAAAATGTATTGACCCACAAATTAATGAATATTCATGAGCACAGAAACTGCTACGTCATGAATAAATTAGCATAATTTTTAAAAAAAATTGCATAAAGTGTAGGTACTCCTTCTGGAGCCCCTGATCACTATGTAGAGAACTGACCCACAAGACCACAATGGATTGACTGGATGTGTTTGCATTTGATAAGACTATATAGTGTGTATATATATAGAAATACAACATATTTCTATTATTGAGTTACAATTGTCCAAAAAATTGCCAATTTTGTGTTTTTACTTGTGTAAACTATATGCATGCCATAACCCGTTAGTGTACATCTTGCCAATTGGGTGTTTGCCATTTGCGTTGCCCATACCTGACCCGACCCTAACCCTAATGTCAAGACACGTTCCTGTTAATAATTCCGTTGCCCATACCTGACCCGACCCTAACCCTAATGCCAAGACACGTTCCTGTTTATAATTGCTCAATAATGAT